CTGTCACATAACACCTATTTAAGCAAGTAAATGTTGTAGTGAGCATGCTCAGTAGTTCTTAATAGAAGTGTAAGTGTTGCTTTGACAGTGATGATAAATATAGCAGCCGCCATGGTAAAGGTTCCTCCAGCAATGATGACTGTGCTGCAAGTGTCAAAAACTTTTAAAAGAAGTTACCAAATATGTACTTTCTTGCATAGAGAATTTAACATGCTAATTTTTATGATGCTGTGTGTGAAATGTAACCACACCATCCTAACAGGTTGAGTAATCAAATAACCAAACTTTTTCCTGTGGTATCCAAATTGCTATTTAAGATTGAATGTGCCGTTGGTTGGAGAATAATCAAAAAACGTCATCCCTTCTAAACCTCTGTACTCTGAAAATACACACAATTATGTAATGTGTTCACATTTTCACTATTTGATGAAACTTTCTTCGTAGTGCACACGAACTTTTTTTTCTTCCGACATTGGGAAACATGTTTTTTGGGGTTCCAGAGTGAAAATTTTGCTCAGATATTTGTGTGGACAGTGAAAAACACTGGTTTTCTAAAAACACTGATGTATTAGCTCAGCCTCTAACCTGAAATATAATCCTCAACTTGCACAACAACAACAGTGCCGGATTACATATTCGCCGTCTTGTAGTTGATTATTTGTGTAATACAACGTGACACAAAGAAGCTTGACTTTGTTGCTTGCCAAAAATTGCGTTTTTGTCTGTTCTTTGAGCTTCTGTGTGGATGAAAACGTTCTCGTGTGGACGAGGCATCTTCCTCTTCCTGCTAAAAGTGAGTCGTTCCTTTCCACTGTTGCCACATGCTTGCTCACCACTGGGAATTACTGCTAATTGAAGACTAGTCGCTCTTTGACAGGAATTCACCTTATATTTGGCAACATGACTTGAACTTGAATGAATTGCCTTGGATTGCGACAAAGACCCAAACACTTCGAGAGATTCTTATGTTTTAAGTTTGAAGAGCATCTAAATAATATTTAGCCACCGTGCTGAAATGAGCAGAAGAGCAGAGAGGCTTCAGGGATGGAAACCTGAAAGGTCGGTGGACGGTGTGGCATTACACAACCTTTCGGCTGTTTATTTCCTGTGTCTTGACAGACTTTGCACAGTCTGTTGCTGTAATCAAAGACGGGTTGGAAATAAGCAGAGGAGCATACCTTGATCGTCCAGCCCTCCTCACAGCGGACCAGCTTGAAGTTCTTTCCCAGGTTGGAGCTGTTGCTGAGGAAGCACACTTTGATAATCTTCACCGGGAAGATGCTATCCCTGCCCACGTGGGTGGTGGGAGACATATCCGAGGAATCTGTCGGGCTGGTGGGAGACATGCTCCTCCAGGTCAAGGTGCTGACGTCGCCTGACATTGTTCGCACGGAAGCGGACGCAGGGCACGTAGACTACTGCAGAAAGACGCACATGACTGTCACCGTTTCACTCTGATGCTTCCTTCTGCCTCATAAAGAAAACCCAAAGGGCGGCATTGGAGCTGAAAAGCACAAAGAGAGTTGGTCACAGTTAAAACAAGTTAAGAGAGCAGATCGGCAAACTGTTCTGTTCGCGCTGCGTACCTGTTGCTCTCACCCGTCGTCTTCTCCTTCCGCGGCTCAGAAATCCCCTTCCAGATCTCTAAAACCGAACACAACTAAGTTCAGCGACACCGACCTCAACATCACTTGAATAAGAGCAGACAAGCAGCTCAGTTTTACAGCTCGAAAGCGAAGAATCACCCAAAGCAGAGCGCTGAAGGGGAATAATATCAGTTGCTGAAAGAGGAAACGCACAGAGGGGTGAATAAGGAAGTGGAAGGGCAGCTACAGAAAAAAACTGACATGCCTGATGAAACCTCTGTGACTGTTACTGCCTGTTTCTTATGCAGTGGCAGAGCCAAGCATCATACCTACAGCAGCACTCTGGCCACGGCCCATCTAACTTTCACTTCCGCTTGCAAAACGTTTGAAAATGTTTAATTTGTTCTCATCACATCCAGACTTAGAAGTTTGTGAAATTCAAACTTAAAGCCTCTTCATTGTTTCCTAAGCATATAAGCCTAGCATTGTTCAGCTTGTTTGACTTCAATAAAGATAAGTAGCTGTTTTTAGACTTGGAAACTTTTCACTTGCACTCAATTTGTAAGTCGGTTATGAATATGTTCAAAACCACTTTTCCTTTTCTGTGGTTTTGCTTTAAAGTACTGACGGTGTGTGGGCCGCTTCACTTTAAAAGTCATTCATCCACCTCTGCTAATTCGGTTTAGTGGAAATAAACTTAAAATCTGTTGCAATAAACAAATTAAAAATAGTTTCAATGTCTCAACACAATCTATATTTCAAGTAACTTCCGGAGATTAATTGTAAAAAAGCAATTTTTACTGAATTCTGCACCCTCAAAATTGTTGAACCCTTTCAGTATAATAACCTTTAGGATTCATAAGAGCATCTTTTTGTTGTTTTAATCTGAAAGCCTGATTTTTTTCAGATCAATGCTCCACTCGAAGGAAGGCTACAATGATGGCCACTTTAATGTTTCCAATGATTTTTTTCTGAATCCGAGCCTCGGCAGCGTTTGCGATATTTTCCCCGTTGTGTGGTTCGGCTTCTTCATGACATTTTCTCCCAGGATTTCCTGATATTTGACTGAATCCATCCTGCCCTTCACAAACTGCAGCTTTACAGTTTCAGAGGACCACCACTGTCTTTATATTTAGTTTTGATCCACTCATCCACTGAACAGAATCCCAAACTTCCTTAGCTTATTTATATTGCTTTTAGCAATTCTCAATGGGCTATTCTTGTGCTTTTAGGTTAGTAGTCTCATGTATCTCCCTGCAGATTTGTTGTGGTCAATCAAGGGTTTTCGACCACCTCAAAAACCTGATGGCAGCTGTTGATAGCTTCCTCTTTCTGCCACCAGGTGGCGCAGCCTCTGCTCTTTGAGCTTTAAGCTACAATATTCCTCCAGACACATTTCTGGGGATATTTTCTGCCTTTTCTATCTTTTTTTTTAATCCGTCCTCTCTTTTGAGGCGTTTCTTTGAGTTCGACATATTTCTAACATGTGATGAAACATTATCGTTTGCCTTTTAAAGAGTTCTGTTTAGGCGGTTTAATAATCGTGAGACCACAGCAGTTAAAGTAGGGTTTGTGTTTGAAATATTTCTCTCATGTTTCAGTATTGCTATGGGCAACTTTATGTGGAGTAATGTGTATTTATCACTTTAGACCACTTTGATCCTTTTTTGACATTTATTTAATGTAATTTATGTAAATTTGATCCAGAAGAGGGTCCATAATTGTTTTTTAAATCATTTACTATTTTCTCTTTGAGTTTCTCGTAGAGTTGTTATTTTCATTTACTTTTTACCTTGTTTGGCAGAGATGAAGATAACACAAATTAAAAATGTTCCTTAAAGTTTCTGAGTTTTGCAGTTTCAAACTATATCAAGAACAGGAACTATATGCTAACATCAGAAGCTTTCTTTTCGAGTAGACTTCTCTTTTCTTCTACGTGTTGCAGCCTTTGGACTTTTTCACATTTTGGTCATGCTGCAACCACTAATTTCACTTTACAAATAAAAAGTGAAATCTAGACAGTGTACCACGCCGCTGTCTTCATTTCCCTTCACTCTGAAATCCAAAGGTAAGCCATAAAAAATTCAGACTTTAATTCGTAAAACTTTTAACAGCCATGTATTAATCACCTTCTCCCTCACAATTGGTGGAGGTCTGTCGCTTGAAATCAAAATAAAATACATTAAAGTCTGAGCTGAGGAAATGTGTAATAGTTAAAGAGGTATAAACATTTAATAAGTAATAGTTAAGCACAAAGGGAAAACTGCTCTTCATTGTTTTCACACAGGACTTCACACTTTGAAGCAGTTTGGGTGTTTCCACACCTCCTGCTCCATCTTGTTGATTACTTTGTAACCTTTGACCTTATACTTGTAACAAAATTTATGCATCATTAAATCTGTTAAATTCGCCAACTTGTCAAATTGAACCTTAAAATGTTACATTCATATTCCCTTCTTTGATGTTTCATATCTTAATGTCTTTTTTTGTTTAACTAGAAGCAGAGTTTTCAAGGATGTTCTTTATTTGAGAATTGATCTCTCTGGCCTTTCTGCAAAAAATATGGCAGAAATGCAATCAGCATGATCACACCATTGCCGTAGTCATGCTTGGCGGTGGCAACATCAAGGGTAGTTTTGTTTGGTCAAAGTTATATGGATGGAGCTAAATACATTAAAGTTCTGAAAGAAATAGCTGCAGAAATGTTCAGGTTTCATTTTCAGTGGACTTAAAACATCTTCAAACCGTGATTTTTCTAGGAAACCTAAATGATGTTTACATAATTTATGCCAAAATCTATATGAACATTGGGATGTAGAGTTGGAAAAACTACTTTCAGCAAACTGTAGAAACCAAAGTGCCCAACAGGGGGCGTAAGAGTCTATTTTGATAGAGCTGTTTACATGTTCTACAACTTTTTCCAGTTTATTCAGTCAGGCCACTGTTTATGTTTATGGGTTTTTTTTAAATAACACAATTTGTTTTAAATAAATAAAACAAATTAAACCCCTGACAGTAATGAGCTCTTTAGCAGTTTCTGCTCATCCCAATTTGTCGTATTATTTAATTAATATATGTGTTTACATTATAAATGCTGTATAAGAGATTTTGTGGTGCAAGAAATGTGGATAATTTTCCATCAAATTTTTTGTGATTACATCTCTGTGTCTGTGCTGCTTATGGTGAAAATTACAGAGCGACGGAACATAAATTAGTTGAGTTTCTTTCAAATTAAAAGCACTGATTTAAGTCTTCAGGTGTACAGATTTTGATAATGGTTGCTTGCTGTTAGCAAAAACCCAATTTCTGGGTTTTCAACATTGATTGACATCGCTAAGACCCTCCCTCCCGACTCTGATTGGTTGTTGTTGGTTGGGTGTGGTGCATGTCTTCAGACAGCAAAAGTAGCACAGAGAGGAGGTGCAGGAGATCGACCCCTTTACAGAGTTCCACTTTTACTTTGAAAACTGCCAAAGGAAGTCATTTCTTACACCTTCTAGCTTGGTGAATCTGCTGGCCGCTACAGCTGTGCACAAAGCAAGGAGATACCAACATCCTCAGGAAGAGAGGAGAGGAAGAGGGAGGAGGAGGAGGAGCAAGGAGCGATCTTGTTTCTCACTTCCAGCGCCGTTCCTTCTGTTTCCAGGCTGCGGGGTTTTCACCCAGCCTGGACTGACTGAGCTGCTGCTGTAGGACGATCCGAGACGCCAAATCATGAATTCGGCAGAGCAGACGGTAACGTGGCTTATCACGCTTGGGGTCCTGGAGTCTCCCAAGAAGAGCGTGTCGGATCCAGAGGCTTTCCTCCAGGCGTCCCTGCAGGATGGAGTGGTTCTGTGCAGGCTGCTGGAGCGACTCAGACCCGGGACGGTGGACAAAGTAAGCAGTCTAAAAATGGAAAACCACACGGACGACTGATTTTTCCACTAATCTGAAATGCTTTTTACGGTACATTATGAGTAAAAATGATCAAATTATTAAAAAAAGATAATAACTGGAGGTCCCAAATAGGCTACAGTATGTTTTCGGTATTTTGCGCTCAGATCTTAATTAATGCCTATGTCCTACTTTTGTAAAAACGAAAAAAAAAAAATCTAGATCACAATTATTTTTGATGGCTATTGTTACACTTGGCAATTAAAACAAAAGTGTTGTTGTTTTGAAATGTACTGCGTATGTAAATATGAAAAAGTGTAATTGCAAAATACTTTTGACATTTTAAAAACAAGCAACAACAAGAACATGTTTAATATGGCTGGCAATTTGGGTAAACAGCTAAACTTAATAAAAAATGTTCACAATGGAGTTTAAATAAAACATTAGGTAACGAAGAGCAGTTGAAATATACTGCAATGGGGAAAATGCCTCAGTTTGATCATCCAAACACAACAAGATTCTGATATGCAAACTAAGAAAAGAAGAAACCCAAACACATGTAACTAGAGAGCCACAGATCAGTCTTTTTCTGGGTATCAGTAGCTTTGAGACGCAGATATTTCATCTGCATGAGCTGTTTGTTTGATAGATGTAGGTCTGACTCCAACACAAAAAATAAATAAAAATCACAAGATTGTCCCTATATGCATCAAAGTCTGTGTCCCAATTTCCCAAACATTTTTGTTTGCTCAATTCAATGAAAGGCATTAAAGTCATGCGATTGTTCACAACAACCGGTCTTCTGCAAGCTTGGCCACAAAGGGAATTCAAACTCGTATAAAAAACAAAACAAACTCTCTTGAATTGCTTAGAAATAAAGATACTCAGCTCTTTATTGGGGCTGATAACTTTTGTTTTTGGTTTTAAGTTTGACCTGCCATTTCTTATTTTGGCGAAGTTCACGTTTTCCTTTACAACAATCAGTAGTTAATCAAATCCTTATTTATGTTTTTTTTAAACCATATAATCTCACAGGTGTGCAAGGTTATTCCCATTTGCACCAGAGCACGACGACACATTCAGACATTTATATCCAACCACGCCCCCAAGACTCATGGACAATGGACTATGCGTCTGTTAACGTCACATCCTCCTTTAGCTTTGCGCAATTGCAATTAAAGTTTGACTGAAAATTTGATTTTAAATAGCTTTTGGTAAAACAACACAGTAAATAACAACAAAACTAAACCACGGGGAGAGAGAAAGCGCTCTTCAAAAATAAATTAAAGAACAATCATGTCACCAGACGTCAATGGAAGCAACTGTTTAATTCTTGAAAGCTTTACATTCTTTCTGGGGGTATTATAGATTAGAAATGCATAAGCACTCGATGAAATAATATTGAGTGCTTAGTTATCGCTATAAAGCAAAAAAAAAAAAATTAATTAAATAAATAAATAAAATAAAATAATAAAAAGTCGCATTTTAAGCTTGTTTGGCAATGGTTTGCTTTACTTTGAAAGGTAAAACCGGAAGTTGTGCTGATTAGGTTGCTCGATCCTGGAAAGCAGCAAGTGCACAGCCTGAACGTCTGTGGGTTAAAAAAAGACGTCTGTCAGTCAAGGAAACTCTTTAAAATCTGCCATAGGGGTTAATTACCGCTTCAGAAGAGTATTTGAAACTGACCCGGTTTTCTTTTAATTCATAGTTTATCCAGGAACCGAGGAGCGACAGCGAGTGTCAGAGGAACATTGCGGAGTTTATTAAGGGCTGCGGGGCTTTCAGTGTAGAGGTGAGTCACTCCATCAGTTGTGTATTTATTTAGTTACACTGCGAGGTTATTAAAAAACAACAACAACAACAACAAAAAACAATAAAGAAACACGTGTAGCTTTGTTTTTCTTGTGTAGAACCGCCTTTAAAATGTTATTTTGACAATTTATAAGTCGTGTCTTAAAGCTGCGAGACAGCAAGAGTAACGGGCTTTTTTATATGGAAATTTATCATAAAAAGTGCCTTTGTTTTGTCACTTTGAGTCTACAAATATTAACTACCAAGACTCTATGGTCTTGATTTTGAAATGGCTTGTCAGTCTCAATGCTGCTCTTTCATTAGACTGTATTTTATTGCTTTTCTTTAGCTTGCAGTTGTTTCTAAAGCTATTTATATTACTATGACCCCAAAGTGAGAATATTATTACCACCTCTTAATAAATCACTGATTGACTGTGATTAGCTAACTTTGTAAAATCAGTTTTATGATCCATATTAAGGCATGACTGCTTTGAGACTTTTAGAATCAAGAAATGATCTATGGGCTGTATTTGTTGCAACAATGAATTATGTCAAGGAAAATGTCTGGCTGTCAATTTTAAGCTGAAGTACTTTTGAGTAATGTGTCAGGATTGTGATTTAATGCAAACCAGCAAGAAAGACTCATAAAAGCAAAATGAAGGTGGCCTGGAGTAGCCTAGTCAAAGTCAGGAGTTAAGTCTGGTTTAACTGCTGTGGCATGATTAATTTTTGTTGCCCTCCAGTATCACTGACTTCTGCAAAGCAGTGGTCCTGCACCACAACTTATTCCAAATACTTATTTGGGGAGGGGGGGGTGTTTTCATATTGAAAATGAAAACATTGAAAAAAAATCTGTAGGGTAGCAAATACTTTGGTTGCAGATTCAAAACAAGCGAGAGAGATTATTTTTGTCACATTGGCTGCTCCCAAAATATGTATTTGCTGCCTGTGGTTCATTGGTAGTTATGGAAACAGGAGGCACAGATTCACTTTGATAGGATGTTGTTGTTTTTTTTTTCCATTTTTTTTTTTTTACTTGACAGGAATGTTAAGTCTGTGGAACTGATTCCTAAATGAACGCGTCTTGAATAGGATCACAGTGCATTTTGATGTTTTTTAATCTTCTGTCGGTGGGATATAAAGTAAATTCAGGGACAATCTGGTATTTGTCTTTCTGTCACAGTTCAAAAGGACAACGCAGGGCGTTTGCCTCTCTGTTTGCATTTCTAAATGGGTCATGGCAGGTTATGACCTCCTTCTCAGAGAGTATGCAGAGAGAGCCAGAGAATAATGTTCAAAACGACAAACATCCTCTCACACAGTATTGATTTTAGCCGTGGGAAAAAGAAGAGTGGGATCATAATGGAAGAGATAGTGCAGCATGTGGACTCCTAACAAGGTTCTACTGTGGATTTGTAAGACAGATGGGCTTTTTTTATTCAAAAAAAAAAAATAAAAAATCTTGAATCCTTGAGGAGGGATGGTGAGAGCATAAAATGGATAAAATGAGGGGGAGGGGAAGAGTGGGCTGATGTAATGTAGTCTGCCAGGCATCCAGTGGATTTTCCAATCAGCTTGATTAGAGGAATGGCAGCCATGTCACTGGAAGCCAAGGTCTCCGTTACGAGCAGTCGGGAGTAATTCCCCCAGACAGTCGTGAAGCAGGCGGAGGGCAGGCCAGACCGAGTGTCCCACAGAAGAGGATTACACAGAGGAGGGCAACTCGGACTTTGATTAACGGAAGCAGCGCAGGAAGCGGTCAGATTAAAAAAAAAAAAAAAACGCTGCTGGACGTTTGACTGTAGTTGTAGAAAAGCTACCTCATTGTAGCTGTAAACCATTTAAACTGTAGTCAAGTGAGCAGCTTAAGCTATCACAAACTTTTGTTTTAAGCACATGGCGACAAAGTAAAAATATTAGCTGTATTTAATCTTACCTTAAAGTTCATTTTTCTGATTATAAGGTTTTTGAAAGTTATGTTTTTCTACTAAAACTGATTTGAAGAGGAGAAAATTGCTCCTCCTTTTAGTGAAATTCATTTGGTAAACTCATAAAATATACAGGAATCATTTGGTTAAAGCTTTAAGCTCCGACTTTCACTGCATCTCATTCCAGTCCTGCTTTTCCTTAGAGTTGCTTTTAACTTCAGCTTAGTGGATGTCGGCTTTGGTTAATATTTTTCATTAAGTAGACCTTAAATTTTGTCTTGTGATTTTTTTTTTAAATAAACAAATGGATATTGTTTCCATTTATTATATAAAGATTAAATTAATTTAACAGAAGTTGATAGAAGCTATTATTCTCTAAAATCGAATGTTAAGACTATGGCGTGTGGAAACAACAGTTGACAGATTAATTGCAGCATAAATAAAACTTTTATTCAGGCAGAGGCCTCACTGTATAATTGTATTCTTTCTTTTACCTAATTTTACCCTCGATTACCAGTCGGTGAAGTTTTGGGTCGTTGTGCGTTCGCTGTAGTCAGTTGGCACAAAGTCGCCCCAAAGTGTTTTGGTGAGATTAGCAACCCAAGCCAAATGCAAAAGAATGTATCTGGAAGTGTTTGGCTCGTTATGCTGTTCAGATTTTGCGGTTTAATTTGCCAATATAACCTTTAAAAAGGGACACTACACCGAAAACAAACAAGCTATAAAAAGCTCAAACCTTGGCTTGCAAATGATCTGAAACGATGTATTAAAAGTTAAAATCCTCATCACATATGGCTCCATCTTCACAATTTGCTAATATAAACATGTTGCTGTGTGTGGTTTACACAGGATTAGGAGCTTCGGAGGTGTTTTGATTCTGGCTGCATGTGTTGCCAGTAACATGTGTGATCGAGCGATTACAAGAGGGAAGCTCAGACTTAATCCGCCTTCAGACCAAAGTTGGATCAGAGAATTAATGCAGCATTTGGCTCAGTTTTGCTTCATTTTTAGGGTGACGTACTTCTTCGAATGCAAACCAGATTAATTTATTGCATTTACCTTAAAGAAGAGTTTCTCAAAAGGTGTGAAAAGTTTTTTTTTTTTTTTTTTTTTTTCCGTCAGAGAGAACTCCTTTGTTTTGTATGTCTCATTCTTTGTGGAGAAATTTTGGCCCACTATCTAGGTTGTTCAAAAACAAACTTTGACTAGGCTAAAACAAATATATATATATATATAAAATAAAATAATGTTAAAACTTTTTATTTGTTTCCAAGCCTTTTGAAGTGAGCGACCTCCTGCAGGGACTGAACTTCTCCAAAGTACTAAACTCCTTAGTTGCTCTTAACAAAGCCACTGAAGGTAAGAGTCGGGTGTTTGGGGCCATCTTAGGTGTTCATCTCTTTTCGAGTGTTATGGTTTTGCTTCCTGCTGTGTGCCTGCAGAGTTGTCCGTCCCAGGAGACGGCACATGCTTGCCGCACCCCTCCAATCTACGGATCAAATCGTTCGACTCTCTGAACACTCAAAGTCGCTCCTCTAAGCTGCAGCAGCCTCAGTACCGCAGCCTGGTGAGTCACGCTGCCAACGCCGGCGTCGCAACTCCAGCCAGACGTTTTCCCATTAAAACGGCCTCTCCGCTCCACCGTAGGACATGTCGGACGGCGGCGTGTGCGGCCAGCTGCTGGTCAAAGCGCGTTTCGCCTTCCAGCCGACCAACGAGGACGAGCTCTCCTTCTCCAAGGGTGACATCATCTGTGTGACCAAGCAGGTGGAGGGGGGCTGGTGGGAAGGCTCGCTGAACGACAAGACTGGCTGGTTCCCCAGTAACTACGTGCGGGAGCTGAAAGGAGGCGGTGGGTGCTGACGAATACGGAAAGCGTTTAGTTGAAGATGCTGAAATATCAACGTGCTGTTTGGATTTTCACTTCTTTATAACGATTGGCATCAGACACTGTAAGAACTGCACTTATAGTTGAGTCTGTGCTGCTGCTTCTACAGTCAGGTTGATCAGATCCTCGTGGCTCGTCTGTAGTCTTGGTTTGCTGAGCTGCTTCCAAATTCAGGAAGCTTCACATGGACACAAAGAAAGGAAGTTCCTGAGCTGCTACTTAAAAAGGAAATTCCTGACGGAAAACAACAACTCAGACAGCAGCAGGCTGAGATGTAGCAGAGGATGCATATGCCCCGTTGAAATGGTTTCATTCATTTTGATCTTTTTAAGTACAATAAGATGCTCATTACCCAGAAAAGACAGAGATTTATCCTGGCTTTACATTGCAATGTGTATTTAACTGGAATGATTATAACAACATGCCTGTTAGGAGTCATGCAGAACTATAATGATCAAACCAAAAGCTGAAAGATAACTTTTGGGGTTTCATTAGCTATAAGCTCCAATGATTACGATAGAAAAACACACATTTTAAATAAATCACACTTTATAGAAAGGAGTGATGGTGTAAGGAATCTATATAGTAGGAATTGAACATTAATTCCTTTTCAATGACGGTCTAACAAACAGAGATGCACTTTAATATTGTGCTTGTAACATGTGTTGTCCTCTGATTGGAGCAGTAAGACTTTGTTCTGTTTTTAGACAAAACAGCAGACAAGCCAAAGTGTGGGACTCTGAAAAGTCCCCCAAAAAGTTTGGACACCAGCATCATCTCAAAGACCTATTACAACATGGTGAGTATCTATGGAGGACCAAAACCGACATAATAAAACATAAAAGAATAAATATATAAATAAAAGAATAAATGTATAAATAAAAGAATAAATATATATTTAGTTTTTCCTTGAGTTTCCCTCAAGTAATGTATATATTTTCTTTTTCATTTCCCCTAAACATGCGTTTTGTCAAGAAAAATAGATATTTTGGTATGTCTTTTTTTGCTTCTCTCTTTCCTGCTTGCTGTATTTCTGCTTGTTGTATTTCTGCTGCATCAATATGTTAATGAGGAGAGCTGTCCAGCTCCTCTACTATTGGCCAATGGAGCTTTGGAACCAGCGTCACTACGCGAGACGTTGTTGGCCGTTCAGCTCGCTCGGTGCATTTTTTTACAGGCCACAGACTAAAACAAACTTTATCCCGATGGTTTTAACGTGCTACCAACTGCAGTGACGTTAGTTGTGAGTTGTCCGCCAAGAAAGCAGCGTTTAGCTCTAGGTTGATCCGATTTATGAACGCTAATTTCAGCCAGCTGTTCTCCAGCTCCCTCCTCAGCGCTCGGAGGTTCACTTAGGGCTGTCAACAAATTTCCGAACTGAACACTCCTGTCAATAAATGTTAATAAATGCTTTGCCTAATGACCAACTGATCCAAAAAAGTGGTAATTCATGCTTTTACATGAAACAGACTACCCTCTTTTAAAATGTCAAGTCGTATTCAATAAGATTCAAAGCTCTATTGGCCAATAGTAGAGGAGCTGGACAGCTCTCCTCATTAACATATTGATGCAGCAGAAATAGAGCAAATGGATAAAGATCAAGCAGAAATACAGCAAGCAGAAAAGGGAGAAGCAAAAAAGGACAAAGCAAAATGTCTATTTTTCTTGACAAAACGCATGTTTAGGGGAAATGAAAAAGAAAATATATACATTACTTGACGGAAACTCATGTAAGGAAAAGGAAAAACTAAATATATATTTATGCATAATAAGAAATAAAAGAATAAATATATAAATAAAAGAATAAATAAAGGAATAAATAAATGTATTCTTTTATTTTTAATTATGTCGGTTTTGGTTCTCCATAAGCATCAGTATGTCAAGAAATCCGACCTCCTATTGTGCTCACTAATGTTTACTTAACATGCCAGCTGAAAGTCTTCGACCAGAAGTTAGACGTTTGGCTAAAATGATGGTTTGCAAAAAATGTAAAAATAAAATTTATTTTGTTTGTTTGTTTTTTTCTGTGGTGACTCAAGCTTAGAGGATGATTTTCACATTGTGTGTGTCCACCTTCATGGGCTGTCGCAATCAATCATTTTTGATTCACACATCTAATTGACCATCTCATAACCATGTCCGTGTGTGTATATAAGCATGGCATGATTTTGTGGAGCCCACATGGCACCCATACATGCGTCAGGTCTGTGTTGACAGAGTGCGGCCAATGTAATGTAGGTTATTTCTTCCATCTCAGTGGTTTCTGGGGCAGCCTTGCCTCAGGGTGGGCTCTTTCTGGTGCGAGTGTGTTTGAGTGTTTTTAATAATGTAGCAAGATGTCACAGTCTCTGCAGACGGTCTCATCTCTGGTCGAGGAGCCTCAGTGTTCTTTATACACTCGCATACAGGTTGTGCCTGAAGTGAAAGCTGTTCCTGGACCCTAATGCAAAAGAAAAAATAGGATCCTGTTTTTATTTATTTAAAAAAAAAAAAACTAGCTCAGATGAAGATGTAAGCTTTGGGCATTTTTATGATTACCAACTATATTGACCTATTTCATTCACTTGCCATACTAATACATATTTTCATGAAACATGTTAAAAATAAGCTAGTGTATACCTTAACACAGTATTGACAGATGAGTTATGTATTTTAAACCGTCACATATATATTTTCCCACCACAAATGCCATGTGTCTCTCAGAGCATGAAAAGTGACGCACAGATCCTCAAAGACTTGATGTTCCATAAAATCTGCTTCATTTTGTCAGGTTTAGACTCATAACAGGAGATTTTCACAACACCAGCATGAGTCAGAAATAAGATTGTGATAGCAGTATAGCATATGTTACTGTTTTAGATGGCTTCACACCTCACTCACTTCTTGTTTGAGCTAAAAATGTGCAATTGTTGGAAACATCAAGCCTGCTAGACTTCTGTAATTGTTGCAAGGTCTGTAAATGAACCTGTGGGGTAAAATGAAAATCCGGTTTTTAAGACACTGTAAACTGCACTACTGGATGGAGGGTGTGCTGTTGCTCCCCCAGGACGCTTTAACTGCCCAGTTTGCTTATCTTTAACAAGGTTTACAGCGTTTTCTTCCCAATAATTTAGGACTGTAACTGACAGTCATTTTAGTAATTGATTAAACCATCAATTTTTCATGTTGATTATTTAGATAAAATATGGCACTTTCTACAGATTATTTAACAACTTAATCCTTTTTTTTCTTTTTGCAAAATTAGAAATACATTAAAATGAGAATAAAAAAATATTCAATTCCTTTTTAAAATTAGAAAATAAAAATTTTATTCCCCAAATAAAATATATCTACAGACAGATGTTTTTTTTTAAATCTTAATTGCAAAATGTATGTTTTGTACAGTCTTCACATAATTGCTCTGAATTTTTTTCTTGGATTTTTTTGAGTGTATACTGCACTTAATCACTGACTAAATTAGTAAGTATTATTTCAATAATTGATTAATCAGTTAATCCGATTAATCGTTTCAACCCAACAATTAATCACAGCTGTCTTGATGTTTCTCTCTCTTTATAAATTTCTGTTCATTTCCTTAAGAGATTCATGGAAAACATGGACAAGTGTAAAAAACAGGATTTATTTTTACTAATTCCGTCTCTCTCACAGGTCCTTCAGAACATCCTGGAGGCAGAGAGTGAATATTCAAGGGAGCTACAGAGTCTCCTGGGGACGTACCTACGTCCACTTCACCCCACAGACAGGTAGACGTNAGAACTGCACTTATAGTTGAGTCTGTGCTGCTGCTTCTACAGTCAGGTTGATCAGATCCTCGTGGCTCGTCTGTAGTCTTGGTTTGCTGAGCTGCTTCCAAATTCAGGAAGCTTCACATGGACACAAAGAAAGGAAGTTCCTGAGCTGCTACTTAAAAAGGAAATTCCTGACGGAAAACAACAACTCAGACAGCAGCAGGCTGAGATGTAGCAGAGGATGCATATGCCCCGTTGAAATGGTTTCATTCATTTTGATCTTTTTAAGTACAATAAGATGCTCATTACCCAGAAAAGACAGAGATTTATCCTGGCTTTACATTGCAATGTGTATTTAACTGGAATGATTATAACAACATGCCTGTTAGGAGTCATGCAGAACTATAATGATCAAACCAAAAGCTGAAAGATAACTTTTGGGGTTTCATTAGCTATAAGCTCCAATGATTACGATAGAAAAACACACATTTTAAATAAATCACACTTTATAGAAAGGAGTGATGGTGTAAGGAATCTATATAGTAGGAATTGAACATTAATTCCTTTTCAATGACGGTCTAACAAACAGAGATGCACTTTAATATTGTGCTTGTAACATGTGTTGTCCTCTGATTGGAGCAGTAAGACTTTGTTCTGTTTTTAGACAAAACAGCAGACAAGCCAAAGTGTGGGACTCTGAAAAGTCCCCCAAAAAGTTTGGACACCAGCATCATCTCAAAGACCTATTACAACATGGTGAGTATCTATGGAGGACCAAAACCGACATAATAAAACATAAAAGAATAAATATATAAATAAAAGAATAAATGTATAAATAAAAGAATAAATATATATTTAGTTTTTCCTTGAGTTTCCCTCAAGTAATGTATATATTTTCTTTTTCATTTCCCCTAAACATGCGTTTTGTCAAGAAAAATAGATATTTTGGTATGTCTTTTTTTGCTTCTCTCTTTCCTGCTTGCTGTATTTCTGCTTGTTGTATTTCTGCTGCATCAATATGTTAATGAGGAGAGCTGTCCAGCTCCTCTACTATTGGCCAATGGAGCTTTGGAACCAGCGTCACTACGCGAGACGTTGTTGGCCGTTCAGCTCGCTCGGTGCATTTTTTTACAGGCCACAGACTAAAACAAACTTTATCCCGATGGTTTTAACGTGCTACCAACTGCAGTGACGTTAGTTGTGAGTTGTCCGCCAAGAAAGCAGCGTTTAGCTCTAGGTTGATCCGATTTATGAACGCTAATTTCAGCCAGCTGTTCTCCAGCTCCCTCCTCAGCGCTCGGAGGTTCACTTAGGGCTGTCAACAAATTTCCGAACTGAACACTCCTGTCAATAAATGTTAATAAATGCTTTGCCTAATGACCAACTGATCCAAAAAAGTGGTAATTCATGCTTTTACATGAAACAGACTACCCTCTTTTAAAATGTCAAGTCGTATTCAATAAGATTCAAAGCTCTATTGGCCAATAGTAGAGGAGCTGGACAGCTCTCCTCATTAACATATTGATGCAGCAGAAATAGAGCAAATGGATAAAGATCAAGCAGAAATACAGCAAGCAGAAAAGGGAGAAGCAAAAAAGGACAAAGCAAAATGTCTATTTTTCTTGACAAAACGCATGTTTAGGGGAAATGAAAAAGAAAATATATACATTACTTGACGGAAACTCATGTAAGGAAAAGGAAAAACTAAATATATATTTATGCATAATAAGAAATAAAAGAATAAATATATAAATAAAAGAATAAATAAAGGAATAAATAAATGTATTCTTTTATTTTTAATTATGTCGGTTTTGGTTCTCCATAAGCATCAGTATGTCAAGAAATCCGACCTCCTATTGTGCTCACTAATGTTTACTTAACATGCCAGCTGAAAGTCTTCGACCAGAAGTTAGACGTTTGGCTAAAATGATGGTTTGCAAAAAATGTAAAAATAAAATTTATTTTGTTTGTTTGTTTTTTTCTGTGGTGACTCAAGCTTAGAGGATGATTTTCACATTGTGTGTGTCCACCTTCATGGGCTGTCGCAATCAATCATTTTTGATTCACACATCTAATTGACCATCTCATAACCATGTCCGTGTGTGTATATAAGCATGGCATGATTTTGTGGAGCCCACATGGCACCCATACATGCGTCAGGTCTGTGTTGACAGAGTGCGGCCAATGTAATGTAGGTTATTTCTTCCATCTCAGTGGTTTCTGGGGCAGCCTTGCCTCAGGGTGGGCTCTTTCTGGTGCGAGTGTGTTTGAGTGTTTTTAATAATGTAGCAAGATGTCACAGTCTCTGCAGACGGTCTCATCTCTGGTCGAGGAGCCTCAGTGTTCTTTATACACTCGCATACAGGTTGTGCCTGAAGTGAAAGCTGTTCCTGGACCCTAATGCAAAAGAAAAAATAGGATCCTGTTTTTATTTATTTAAAAAAAAAAAAACTAGCTCAGATGAAGATGTAAGCTTTGGGCATTTTTATGATTACCAACTATATTGACCTATTTCATTCACTTGCCATACTAATACATATTTTCATGAAACATGTTAAAAATAAGCTAGTGTATACCTTAACACAGTATTGACAGATGAGTTATGTATTTTAAACCGTCACATATATATTTTCCCACCACAAATGCCATGTGTCTCTCAGAGCATGAAAAGTGACGCACAGATCCTCAAAGACTTGATGTTCCATAAAATCTGCTTCATTTTGTCAGGTTTAGACTCATAACAGGAGATTTTCACAACACCAGCATGAGTCAGAAATAAGATTGTGATAGCAGTATAGCATATGTTACTGTTTTAGATGGCTTCACACCTCACTCACTTCTTGTTTGAGCTAAAAATGTGCAATTGTTGGAAACATCAAGCCTGCTAGACTTCTGTAATTGTTGCAAGGTCTGTAAATGAACCTGTGGGGTAAAATGAAAATCCGGTTTTTAAGACACTGTAAACTGCACTACTGGATGGAGGGTGTGCTGTTGCTCCCCCAGGACGCTTTAACTGCCCAGTTTGCTTATCTTTAACAAGGTTTACAGCGTTTTCTTCCCAATAATTTAGGACTGTAACTGACAGTCATTTTAGTAATTGATTAAACCATCAATTTTTCATGTTGATTATTTAGATAAAATATGGCACTTTCTACAGATTATTTAACAACTTAATCCTTTTTTTTCTTTTTGCAAAATTAGAAATACATTAAAATGAGAATAAAAAAATATTCAATTCCTTTTTAAAATTAGAAAATAAAAATTTTATTCCCCAAATAAAATATATCTACAGACAGATGTTTTTTTTTAAATCTTAATTGCAAAATGTATGTTTTGTACAGTCTTCACATAATTGCTCTGAATTTTTTTCTTGGATTTTTTTGAGTGTATACTGCACTTAATCACTGACTAAATTAGTAAGTATTATTTCAATAATTGATTAATCAGTTAATCCGATTAATCGTTTCAACCCAACAATTAATCACAGCTGTCTTGATGTTTCTCTCTCTTTATAAATTTCTGTTCATTTCCTTAAGAGATTCATGGAAAACATGGACAAGTGTAAAAAACAGGATTTATTTTTACTAATTCCGTCTCTCTCACAGGTCCTTCAGAACATCCTGGAGGCAGAGAGTGAATATTCAAGGGAGCTACAGAGTCTCCTGGGGACGTACCTACGTCCACTTCACCCCACAGACAGGTAGACGTTCTTCACCCCACTGTATAAATAAAATTTTACGTTGCAGCACGTATGTCTCAAAATTATTTTCTTCTGCTTTACAGACTCGGCAGTGTTGACATCGGTCATATTCAGGGAAATCTGGAAGAGATCTCTACATTTCAGCAGATGCTTGTCCAGTCTTTGGACGACCAGACCAAGTCAGTTTGTTTTTGTCTTTGTCTGCAAAATTCCTTAATTTTTTTTTTTTTTTTTTTTTTTTTTTTTTGTCGGATTCAAAACTGCTAAGAAGAACACGTAGCACTTTTTTTTGTATGTTTTAAAGTACTTTTAAATAAACTTTAAGTAGATGTAGCAGCAGAGCCATCTAGTGGTCAGCTGAATTTAGTATTTTTTTTCTGTATAATTGCAGAAATAAACATTTTTCCATTCAGTCTGATATTGCAGTGTAATTTGTGTAGACTTCCAGAGAACCAACAGAGAATCGGGGGTTTCTTTCTGAACCTGATGCCTGAGATGAAGGCCATATATGTGGCTTACTGCTCCAATCACCCGTCTGCAGTCAGTGTGCTCACACAGCACAGGTATGGACTCAAACCCTGAACACGTTTTGAAACTACAAACACTTTAAACTAACAGGTTTATGAATGTGTGTCTCACAGCGATGATCTTAGGGAATATATGGAGTCAAAAGGAGCGTCCAGTCCCGGCAACCTGACGCTAACAGTCAGTCTGAGCAAACCCTTCACCAGAATGGAAAGATACCCAGCACTGCTGAAGGAACTGGACAGACATATGGAAGTAAGAGTCCGTTTGTAGACCCAAAACTTCAGGCGACGCACATTCTTGTTTTTGATATTCTGGTCGTCTTTTAGGAGCAACACCCTGACCGAGCTGACCTCAGCGCAGCCATGGCAGCCTTCAAAGGCCTTGCAGTGAGAATGCTTCTTTTCCAGTTGTGAATCAATTTTACGTCACATTTTGCAGAGTTTTTTTTTTTTTTTTTTTTTTTACCAGAGTGTGTTTTAACGTAGGCAGAGTGTGAGGAGGTGAGAAAGAGGAAGAACCTGGAGCTGCAGATTCTGACTGAGCCAATCAGAAACTGGGAAGGAGAAGACATTAAAACTCTCGGCCCAGTTCTCCACATGTCCCAAGTCAAGGTTCACACGCAGAATTGCCAGGTACAAAACTCTGTGACGGAGGTGTTGAGTTTCGCTTTTTACCTGTCGAAGTCCGAATTGTTGTGATCTCTCGCCTGCGAGTCGAATCCAGCAGGATTTGGTGAACCACGTTTGTGTTTCTTCCAGGAGTCAAATGAACGCTTCCTCATCTTGTTCCCTCACACTCTGCTCATGCTCTCAGCTAGCCTCCGAATGAGTGGATTCATATACCAGGTATGTTATCATCATTATATTGCACAGATATTCATATGAATTGTTATTTAGGCTCACAAACATTAAAGGAATTGACTTCCAGCTCTAAGGGGAGCTCCTCTGTGTTTCTGTTTGTAGGGGAAAATGCCTCTATCAGGAATGCTCATCTCCAGAATTGAAGATGGAGAAAACCTGAAGAATGCTTTTGAAATATCTGGTCACTCCCACTTTTTCTCTCTATTTTCAAAATAAAATCATTTCAACAGAGGTCATATTGTTCCAAAAGATAACCCACTTCATGAGCTTGATTATTAAATAACACATCATCTCCAACTGTGTGCCTGTTGTTGAGCAGGAGGCCAGTGTGAGCGCACGCAGATAGCTTGTAGCAGTCAACGTGATCTACAAGACTGGTTGGACCTCCTCACCAAACACACACACACCACACCGCCTCAAGTATGCAAGCTTCAGGATGTTTGTTACACAGTAAGGCTCCATGTTGTTCCGTCAGCCAGTGAGTTGATGGATGTTGACCCTCGCTGCTCATTCGTTCGTCTCTTTCTCTTCTTCACCTCGTCGCCTCTAGTTGCCCTCCCATCCCGCCGCTCACTCCAGATACTCCGAGTCTCGCGGGGGGAGCCCTTACCACACCCTGCCTCATCCCTCCTTAAATGGGACCATTTCCAGCAGCGGCCCCGTGTGGGGACCGCTGGAGCCACCGAGCACCCCCAAACCCTGGACCCTGAGCTGCCTTCGCCCTGCACCTCCACTACGGCCGTCTGCTGCTCTGTGCTTCAAAGAGGTGCCGATCGCAAACCCGTTCACGCAAACCTTCTTATAGACCCACACAAAGCAAGGCGTAATTGTGAAGTGGGAGGAACATGAGAGGGTTTTGAATATTTTTATAAACAGTGTGAAGAGTTAGCACACAGCTCCAGCTAGTTCAGCTAGTAATTAGTGATCAGGCCTGAAATCTGGCTATAGTGGCAGACTCAAACCTGAGCCTTCAAAGACACATAAACACAGTTTAAAAAAAAGTCAGCCTTCTATCACCTGAAGAACAACCTGCTGTTTAGGGTTTATTTTGATTCATGATGACTGGAGCATTGATTGACACATTTCATGTGTATTTGCTTGGAGATTTTGATGATTGTGTTTACATTATGATGATAGCTTACATTATGAGTTATTGTAAGAGGTTTTTATGGTGTAAAGCACCTTGTTAATGAAATGTAAAGAAACTTGTATGTAAATTTGAACCAAATGTTCTTGCAGTTACAGCTGTAAATCTTTGAATCGCCTTTTTTTTTTTTTTTGGCACTGATTTTGTCTTTTAAAGGATGTAAGTAAAAGCCCCAAAAACAAGAGGCCACTGCTCCCTACCATAAGGAAACCAGAGAGGAAACCATCGGAGGAAGATTTCACTGCTAGAAAGAGTAAGCTGAGCACACTGAAAACAAATGAGCTTTTGACAGGTTTCTTCTGCATTAAAACTTTTGGATTTATCCTCATCTGTCATGTTTCTGTTCCTCCCACCTTCCTCTGGTGCGTCAGGCACAGCGGCTCTGGAGGAGGACGCTCAGATACTGAAGGTGATCGAGGCTTACTGCACGAGTGCAAAGACTCGCCAGACTCTAAACTCAAGTGAGTTACTTTACTTCTTCATATCCACACACAGTGTCTCAAACTGTTAGTACTGTGAATTACTTTTTCTTCAAAGCTTTTCTTTTTTACTAACAAGTTTCTCTCTCTCCTCTCTTTTCTCTGATATTCATTCAACCTCTTATGTCATCCTCATCCATTCTCTATTTTCCTATTTGTCCCAAACAAATCATTATTATTTTTGATTTGTCCTTGTGTTGTCATGCATTTTCCTATTTTGTTTGCGTTTTTTGTCCAAACCGACTTTATGGTTTTTCCGACACCTTCTTCACCCTTTTTCCAATATGATTTGATTTTATTCCCTCATCCTCCAAAACATGTAATTTGGTGTTTTATGGCACCGTAAAGCATGGCAGGGAACTGACCTCATGCACAACCATGTGCTGGCTGAGACCAGCCTCACAGTGGCTGCGCTCCCTAGTAACCTGCCATCTTCTGACCAATCAGAAGACTCCGATTATGACAGTATCTGGACTAATCAAAGTCACAGGACCGCCTCGTTTTCTCGTAAGACGTTGTTGTGAACTGTTTCTGCTGAGTCAAAGTGTGTGATAGGTGCTGTGTGGATGTCAGTGTGTTGCTGGAATCTTCCAAATACTTTGTTTTTAAATATCTGATTAAGTATCATTTAAGAATAACAATTAAGTGTAGATTTTTTTTACTTGCTTAAGTTGTGAAATACTCTGGTTACTTTGTAAAAATTAAAAATAGATTTTTTTACTTTTATTGTCTTAGGCTCCAGCAGAAAGGATGTCCATATGCTGTTCCCAGAGGAGGAGAAGATTATTGTTGAAGAAACAAGGAGCAACGGACAAACTGTAGTGGAGGAACGGTAATAAATCTGAGTATATGCGCATCATATTTAAAAACAGGTCAATTGTTTGATGAACTTATGCATTGCAATGTATCAAATAATTTTTTTTAGATGTGATTTGTTCTATTTTACTTCATTTGGCTAATTTAAAGGGCTTAGTGACAAATACATTTCATTGTGATTTTTTTTATAGTATAAACATTATGTGTGTTAAAGCGTATGTGTATACTAATGCCTTTGCTAATTTTTATTAATAATATTCCTGTATGTATATATATGGATGACTGATAGAAGAAAAATATTAAAGCAGAGCTTTCATATTTATTTTATTTTTGCACCAGTAGTTTTGGATTAAGTTCTACTTTTAAAAAAATGACCTCCTGCCACTGACATTCAGCTTCTTGCATTGGTTGTACTTTTTTATTTTTGTGAATGTAGCTTAATTTTTTCTCCTTGTTTTGGATCGACATGTAAACAGGTTATGGGGTATAAATTATATATTTTTTCTCCTGCAGGAGTCTGGTGGACACCGTTTATAGCCTCAGAGATGAGGTTCAGGAACTCAAGCAGGTCAGTTTCGTCTTTCTTTTTATTCCTGCCTATATTCTATTTTATTTCAGCCCAAAATTGAGGTTAGATTGAAAAACAAAAATCATTTTGATATCTAAATTTTGTTGTATTCAGTTTAGCATTATGGGATACAGACTAACCAAGCAGTTGGTATTGGTCATACCAGTTTTCTTTCATTTTAGGGTCACATTTTATGTGTATAAAATGTGTGGTGTGATTTCTACTTTGTTGTAGTATTAGTTTTTTGTCCCAGAGTTCCTGTTTTTTTTCTTTCGTTCTTTGTTAATCTGTCTCCTTCTGTTTTCCAGGACAACAAGAGAATAAAGCGGACACTGGAGGAGGAGCAGCGAGCGAGAAAAGAGCTGGAGCGAATCGTCAGGCGGGTTCTGAAGAACATGAACGACCCGACCTGGGATGAGACTAACCTCTGAAACCGCTTCAGATTTGAAGCCAGGACCAATTTCTGACATTTAAATCATTATATGATGAGAGCTGTTAGCTGTGTGGACAGAAGCTGCCAGTAGTTTGTGCCACTCTTCATCACTTAATTTAATTTTAAAACCTTGAACTAACCCATGTGCCAAACCAGGGACCAGGAAACTGCCTGCCAGCTATCGATGAAGCCGCCCCTACTGTTCATGAAGTAATGAAGCCATAACAGCTGGTAGGCATGAGGATGTCACTTCGGTTCGTCTTTTCTTCTGTACTTGAACCAATAATAATTTCCTTTTTCTTTCCTAGTGTTGTCGCTGCTCCTTCCACTGGTATCCAGGACTGTATTTTATTTGCTCCTGGTCCATAAATATTACAGTTTTAAATGAACAAGACACCATAAGAAAGTTCAATAGTTAAGTCTTGATTAAAAACACACACACACACACACACAGTCACTGTCAGTCACACTTCCTGTGAGAACTTTGCATTCACTCATAGTGATGCGTATAAATGCTTCTTTTTCCAGAGCGGAGTCATTACACAACATAACACTTAAAGCTGCAGTATGTAACTTTAATAAAGAATATGTTTATTACGTATTTATTGAAACTGTCATCATTTCATGACGATACATTATGAGGCAGATAATCTGTGAAAAGACTGAACTCTTCCTCCTCCTCTGCTGCTGTTAATCACATGGCGAATGATTGACAGCGCTAAGACGCGCCTCGTGGCTCTGATTGATTGTTTCTAGTTAGCACTGGGAGAAGGCAGAGGAGCTTGATTTTTTTTTTTCTTTTTACGCCAGTTTATCTGTGTCATACCATACTATTATGACATTATGACAGTTTCAACAAATGCATATAAAAATATTTTCTACATACTGTTTGGTGGAGGTTTGAATTTAAACCAAATGTTAGTGGGTATATCTATAATTCAGGCTCCAACTTCCTAACTTTAGAAATCATTCTAGTTTTATGGTGTATAATCATTCAGTCCTGGAAAAATGAGTTCACATGGTTCATTCCCATTAGGAGTTGCTATAAAACATTTAACTGTATATTTTGTCTCCAAATGAAATGAACATTTAAAGGAACCAACAAGCCAGCTATGAAGTTACCAAAAACATCATAAATCAGCCAATAATGCACCAGCGTTTATAAAGATTTATGAACCGCAAAAGAGTAACTAATAGTTTAAAAAAATGTTTGTAACTGATGATGAGATTATGTTATGGGACCACAGGAAAAAAAAATAACAGAACAGTCGTATTTATATTTGTTTTAATTTGATAAGCTACAATAAAACATCTTGAAAATGTTTGGTTTTCAGAAAACCTCAGGGCTTAATACCTTATGTTTCCAGCTCCAAATTAACACCCATTTCTACTTTAATTTTTCAAGCAATATTTAAAGGTGCTCATAATGTTATATTGACTTGAACTGCCTCTTAAGCAAAAAACAAAAAACTTTTAGTTATTTGGTCCGTTTACATTTTAGAACCCCTGTAACTTAAAAACATTTTCCTTTCTGACCTTAGAATCCATTCCTTTCATCATTAATGGTCAGTAAAAATGCATATTTGTTCATGGTAACAGGAAAAACATCAGAAGAGGCCTTCTACTGAACTCTGTTCAATGGTTCCAACTTAGGTCTCATCCTTAATGCAATAAATGGGAAGTTTTTCATTCCTGTTGTCATAACTGAATATTTTTCAGATACTATTGAGGCACTTTAGCTGTTAGATTTCTATAATCCATTGCAAAGTGCAAGCTTGTTTGGTGAAACACTAAAAATGAGTAATAAAATAAAACTTAGCACTAAGTTGGAAATGTAATAATGGTAAAAACCATCCGACTCACTTTTTTGAGTTCTGCTTAAGCAATGCGACTGATGGGGGGAAAAAAACTCAATGGACATTTGTCTTTGCAAAGCCAAATTTAAAGCAATATTACACTGGAAAATGTGTTTGATTTTTGTCAATATGCAATTTACTGTTGAATAAGTCTTATATTTATCTTTGTTTTCATTTTATTTTATTTTTTTACTTGCTTTCATTAACACCTCTTTTCTACTTGACCCTGGCTCACATCACATATGTGATCTATAGAGCAGTTTCTCATCAGCAGTAGATATACTGCTAAAACATATTGCTTATACCTTGACAGCATCTGTTGTGTTAGTTGTATGATCAAGTATGGCAATGATTTAACTCTAACTTGTGTATTTAGCAGTAACTGATGTAAATGTGTTCTGTGCCCTGGTGTTAGAATGATGAAAATGATTGCAGAGGTTACTATAACAACCATCTCTATTTATTTCACCTATTGATCTGCCCATGAATAAAATGCTGAATCCAAGTGAAACTTGAGTCTGTCATTGAGAATAAAAAGATGATTACATTGTGTTCTGTGTCCACCAGCTTTGCTCTTCTTCACTATATATTTGAGGGGTTTTCCTCCTGGAAGGTGAAAATACACCTTACTCTCAAGTGGAAATGGATTGGCATTTGGATTGCATGCCACACTTTTAAGATTTTTATTTATTTATTTTTTTATTTAAAAATCATGCTTCGTTTTCATTCAATTTCTAAATTGTCAGATAAAGTCCCAGTAAATGTGTTCCAGTTTTGTTATCCGATAACCCAAAAGTATCTAATTCGGGCTGAAATCTGAGTGAAACGGCGCCGCCACTTAACGTTATATAATTGTAGTGGTCGAAAAGGGTATTACACCTTTAGCACACAGACGCAGATGAAACTCTGCCTGACTTGATTATTTCAGACAGACGAAGATTCTCTGGAACAAAACACGGATAGCGCTTCCCATGAACAATAAACGTAAGTTATAACACAAGTTGCACTAAATGCGCACGGTAATATCTGAAAGGAACACACTTATAACTATTAACATAAACTGTGTTGGCTGACAGAGACTGACTAAAGTAGTAGACTGGACAGCGAAATATGTGAGTGAAATAAATGTATATAAGCCGCTGCGGCTTAAATTTTGACGTGAACCTGCGCTGATACTGTTAGTAATGTATCTTCCTGTCTAATTGAAATGCGAGTCGAATTTAAAACTCAAATTGCCTTTCTTTTTGTTTGTGTTATTTTGTAACAAAACACTTTTAAACCTGAGAAACCTCTACAGCTTCAGTCTATACCTATAAAAATATAACGATCTTTTTACTACTTGCTGAGTGCAGCACAAGTGTATATCGACTCAACAAATTGAATATAAGATGCTTGAGAAATTTATATAACTATCTCTTATTTCCAATTACCTACTGTATAGTAAAGTAATGAAGACATTTTTATCCTAGAGTGTAAATGTTCATTCCACCTCTAAATACCACGTCATATAAAATCCCAATTAAACAACAGCGTAAAATATTAATTTCCCCCCGTTCCAGTTTTTTACCGGACAACCCAACAGTATCTAATCCAGGACGAAATTTGTTGAAGGGAATTACACCTTACGCAATCAAACGCAGGTGAAAGTCGGTATAACTTGATTGTTTCAAAGCGACTGAAACACGCAGGAATAAAACAAAGATAGCGCTTCCTCAGAAAATAAACTCCAATGTAAGTTGTAGCACGATGTCCACTGAATGCACTGAATTGTAGAATATAAAAATAACTAAGAAAATAATTATTAATATTAATTGCGAAACTTGTTAATTTCTCAAAAATTTTTCTTCAGCCAGCACGAGTGAAGAAAGAAGAGGACACAGGATTTCTCGAGAGCTTCATCGACACGGGATGGAACAGTCAGCGAAATATGTGAGTGAAATTAATCACTTGTTTATGTTTATGTCTGCTGCTGTAGCACCTGCCTGCTCATGAAGGTCCATACTAATCGTAATATCTATCTGTCCATCTATCTCAACATTTTTTAATCAAATTTGAAACTTATAATTACCCTTTCGTTTTTGTTTTTATGCTATTTTATGACTACATTATTTATTTGTATTACAAAATATCCTTTGCACCGCAGCAACAATCAGCTGCCCTGACCCTGTGCCTTTGTTGCTCACCCTCTAAAACATCAGCAGCCCTCCTCCGTGTTTCACAGTAAGAAAGTTGGACCTTTCATCATAGGCCTTGGTGACTCCTCCAAATGTTTATGTTTATGGCTAAAAAGATAAATATTAATCTCATTAGTTCATATGAGTTTGTTCCAGAGGCATTCTCAGTTCTTTGGATATCGTTTTCTGTTCTTTTCTTGTTTTATACAACTCAGTTACCTCTTCCTGCAGTTGCTTTGACATTTATTTAGCCTTATCCACGACTCAGAAATCAGAAATGTCAGTGTAGCACTGGATGAAAGAGGCAATGGTCTATCATGAGCCAAGATATTGTTACCTTTCGTATCCATTCAGAGCAGTTTGTGTCAACTTATGTGCAGGTTACAAGACCAAAATCAGGTATGTAATCTTTTTATCCGAGTCATTAGGGTAGTTTCTGTTGTCAGTATGATTTAAAACAAGTAAACAAAGTGTTTTAATAAGAAGTGGCAAATGAAAAATCGACAAAAAAAAAATTGTTATGGTGTGTAAACTTATGACTGTATATTCGACATCGACTAACATGAATCAAAACTTACTGTATTTGTTTTGTAAAATCTTCATTCATACTAGATATGTGCTTGATGTTTCACCGTGGATCCGTTTGATAGTTTCCATGGTAGTCGTCTGTTATCAATGCAATCAATAACATCGCACGGCCGGACTGCCAGGCGGATTTGGCAGAACACCAGTGAAAAGCATTATTCTCGCAACAACAGAGAAGAAAGGAGTCTTTGTGGAGTTGTCCCTACCAAATTGACAAGGCCTTTTACAGCCTTTGATAGAGACTGGCTGCCTCGCACAATGGAAGGCATATAAATCTGCAGATGTCTTCTGGAAAGCTCAAATGTCAACGCTTTTCACAACAGCACCGGAGCCTTGCAAGAGGAATAATTGATTAGTTCACCTTTTGTCTTGAGCCAAATATTCATCCAGTCAGACATGAAAAGGAACCTGCAGGATAAAAAAAAACAAAAACATCTTCTGCGTCAATCAACATGTAAAGAAATTATTTTTATTAAAAACTTTAATTTCTCATATTTTAACATTTGTTGTTAATTTATTGACTAAACTGATTCAAATCTTTCTAGCCTTTGTTAAGCAGGCAGGGTTATCTCATTGACTTTTATAATTAGGTAATACTACATCCTGAATCATTTTCCTGAAGTGTTATTAACACTACTTAAATTTCTTACATCGTAATCTTAAGAAATTTTTCTTTTCGGTTGAATTCAGTGGCTTTTGTCTCATGAACGTGAAAGAAAAGGCAGCCTAAAGCTGTAAATAAATGATTATGGCAGGCTTGAAATACCTAATTTACTCAACATTACATTTCTGGTTAGTGAAACTTAAATTATCATAACACCAGTGAAAATATGCAAAAAAAAAAAGGTCCTGATGCAGAAAAGCAGCCTGACATTATCATATGACACCAGCGTCATTAGTTTGTAATGAACAAGAACTAGTTCTAAACTGACTGAAAAACACATCATAATATAAGCGTTTAATTATTGATTTGTTTTTCATTTTGAATATCTGAAATACTTCCAAACTGGTGAAGTGGCCAATCCTGTTTTATCTACAGTTTTCACTCCACACTGTGGTTTTGTACTGTTTTTAAGAAGTTATGAGGCACGGTGGTGAAAACTTATACTGCTGCTGCGCATGTTACTCAACAGGTTGTTGCTAGGTAATGAAAGCGTGAGAGATTAGTTGATGCCGCCAATATTGGATGCCTACATCCCTCAGAACGGTGTGAAATTATTGAATATTCTATCAGACCTTTTTTATCCATTGATATTGATCACTTGTCTATCACAATATATTTTGTTATTGATTTTCTCTTTCTAGCTGCATTTATCTTTGTCTGTGTTCAGTAGCCGGCGATAATTTATACTTGACTTGTATTGTTGCTTTGTGCGTTCCACTTTCCTCCAAAGCTGTGCCACTCATTTTCAGCCTCTGCAATTTTCTTCTCCAGTAGCAGAAAGGAGCACAAGAGGAAAAAAGCCGAAAGAAAGATGACAAAGACAACACAGGACTCCTCTCTTTCCCCTGCCCTGGTTATTGTACAAAACAGGCGAGCAATAATTTTTTGTCATTGGTTTACTCCTAAAAGCCCATTTTGATGTCAGCGCTGAAAAGAAGGCAATAAAGAAACCTTTTCAGAGGAGCTGAATGAGAGAACGAAGAAGAAATGAATCCCTCTTGGATGTTGCGACCGGAGAGGCCTTTTTATTTTCTTTGCTCGGGTAATCAAATGGAGCTGAAATGAAAATGGAGTTTTCTATGAAAATAGGGGCCTTTGTTGGCTTTGGAAGGCTGGTAATTCATAAACAATAAGCTGGCTCCTTTTGTTTGGGTTATAATATATTCCTGCTGTTCTGAAAGAGGTCCCTCGCTGCACACACATGCACTCGCACACATTGCAGCCAGGGTAAAAGCCAAAGTGAGGCAGCAGGGGAAGAGAGAAAGAGGGAGGATAAAAGGAGGCAGAGAGGCTGACTTTCTATTCATCCTCCTGACTGAGAGACGGCAGGATGCTCAACTCCTCACCTCACTTCCTCCGCTCGGCAACTTTTCCTCTCTGAGCATTTTGGTTCTTTTATTCCTACAGGTGAGAATGGATCATTTTTGACAGGTTGTTTTTTCTGAGTGCTTGGAGAGTCCTGAGGGAAGAAGTAAGGACGTGAGGCTGTTGATGGATCTTTTTTTTTAAAGGATGCAGCATCTGATTCTTTGGGAAACAAAAATATCAACGTGATTGAAGCAGGAACTGCAAAGCAAACAGAAGAGAGAACTGCACTTCACATCTTCAAGCGGCAATTTTTCAACATCCATCCAGTGAGGAGCGTGCATTAAGTGAGATTTCAAATCTTCTTGCCTCCTGTGACTGGAAAGTGTCGGGAAAACTTTCCTGAGTTGGAAAATGCTGAAGAAAGAAGGTACTGTAGGACTTTGACATGATGACTTTTACATTATTGCAGAAATATATGACTGAAAATTTAATATAACAGGAAAACAGGCCTTCTACCAACCTGATATCTAATCTGTATAATGTACAACAAAAGTAACAAATAAAAATAATTCCCATCAGAAAACATGATAAAAAGTAAAAATAAGTAACCAAAAAAAAATCAAAGAAAGTATACAACTGAAAAATTAAATAAACAAAACCAAAATACATACAAATTTAAATATTAATTAGCAATCCTAAATAAATGTTTTTGTAAACAAGTGAAAAAGCTAATAAAAAAATATTAAGTCTAAAGTAAGTGGAAAACATCAAAAAACAATATCTAAGAGATAGATCAAATTAAAATGACAAAACAATACCAGACATTGGAAGTTAAATAAGTAAAAAATTACAAACAACAACAAATGATAAAACATATTTGATAAAAAAAACTAGAGGAAAAATAAACATGTTTATAGAATGAACAATGATCCACAATAGAAATTACATAAATAGCAACAGGTGAAATAATTTGGGCTAACATACATCTAAATATGCTATAAATAAACTTACTTTTACATTCATCTTGTGGTTAGGTTTTGCTCTTTATATTATGAACGTATCCACCAACAACTAAGACTGTACCCTATCTCTTAAAAATGGTTCATTGTCAATTATTTGCTTGGGATCAAATGTAAAGGCTGAGTGAATGTCAACAGGAAAAGTTTTTTTTTATTAGAAACCTTTGCATAATGGTTATTCATAAAATCATCTCCATGCTCAGTGGCTTGGAATAACAATTTCTACTCTTTAGATGTTTTTGTATTCATGTGGATTGAGCTCAGACTCTGCTGCGCTGCCCTGAGGTGTACCTCAAGGCGTCATTGTTGGACATTTGCTTTTTTCAATCTACCTGCTGCAATTAGGAGCCATTTTTAAAAACCATAGCATCTCTTTTTTTGACTTTATGTGAATAATTTTCATGTATATTTCCCTTTGAAAAGCAGAACACACTCTGTTAAGCCCTTCCTTACTTGAGACCCCTCTAGAAATGCTTATAACTGCCTATATTAATATTATTATTAATGTGCATTAATACATAGTGGAAGCCGTATTAGCATGACTACAGAAGCTAACATCAATGGACTTCCACATCACTGCTGGTACTCCTGGATTGGCTGCTTTGCAAACACCAACCATTAATATGTCAAGTAGAATTATATGCAAGTGTTTCAGCTTAGATATAATGCTAATTATATATCATTATATATATTTTCTGTGAATATTTTAGACATGAATTTATCCACAAATAGGTGGGATTCTTGTGACTAATTCTGTGAATTCTCCTTCAGCTTGAATGTTTAGCTTGTCTTGATGCAGAGAGTGTGGCTGTCACTGCAGCTGGGAGTGACTCCTGCACCAGATGTTACCTGTGAGCCTTTTAGGAAAGGAGAAGGAACCTGCAGCAACACCTGTTCTTGAGGGAAGGTGTTCACACTAGTCACCAAAGGTCGCTTTTCTGAAAAGGGATTGCTGAATGGGTCTGAAAATTCACTAAATATATCTGTGCTCATGAACAGTCTCCACTAACTCAGCAATGAGAAGCATACATGCTCAGGTGGGACTGGAGAGATGAGCAGGTGGAGCTTGTCATAAAAGTAGAGAAATTACATGTTGGATTTATTTTATTGGTTTTGTGCCGTAGATTTGGTGTTTTGATGGCAATCAATTTAAAGCTGGCTGCTTTTCCTGAGTGCTTTGTTTTAGATTTTGTACAATATTTTATCTTTGTTTATACCCAGAAGTTAAAAAAAAAAAAAAAAAAAAAAAAAAACTTCTAGCCTAATTTCTGCATTGCAATAAATCTATGTATCCTTCCACTCTTCAGTGAAATGTGTGTATTAATGTTGTTATGGGCTCCGTGGCAGGAAGCAGCTTCAAAATATTCAACTTGACTTGAATAATAGCATTTTGTGGTTGCATAATTTATTGTATTAAATGCCATAGAAACAAACTGAAGTGCAACCAGGGGGCCATTTGTGACCCTGTGAGGCCCCTGACAAATATAGGACCAGGGCACCATGTTGGATTTCTTTAGGCCAACATGTTCACAATCATAAGGTTCTTAAAGCATAACAAAAGTCAGGTATAGAAGAAAATATTTGTCATTTGTTAACCAGGCTTCTGCATAAATCTGAATTTCACGATAAATAGAACCACAAACTTCCAGGATCTTTTACAAAAGCAGACTTGGGTGGACTCCATCTCCACCAATTATCTAATGTTGGATGCACCTTAGAAGAAAGAGTGACATATTTATGGTGAACTTTGACTAGAAAGATTATTCTGGCCGAATAAAAACAAAAACAAAACAAAACAAAAAAATATCCCAAAACATGAGGAATCTGTGATCCTGTCTTATGTTTTAGCTCTATAATGATTTACAAATCCAAGTTTTGGTTCACTCAATAAAGTCTTACATTTTTAGTTTATTTTTGTTTAGATAAAAATTATTTAAAAAGTTGTTTAATTTTGATATTTTTATATAGCTAAATTGTTTTCAACTTGATAATTGTGTGGCACAAAGTTTGTCCCAAATTACTTGATTATGGTTGTTTTGTAATTTTAAATGACATTTTGACAAATTATACAAGCAAATTAATCGGTTTCTTAGAGATATGTTGTAACCTTGGAGAAGAAGGAAAAAAAGACATGGCAATTTTATATATATATATTTTCACGAGATATTAATTAGATTAGAGGTGGTGCTCTTATGACATTAAACTCAAATTTTATTAGTGTAAATTACCATGGAGACAGACCCAGGTCAGAAGTGATGCTCCTGAAAATCCCAAACTGAACTTGACGTTACTTCATCACATTTATAAATTAAGTGGATAATTTGGAGCATAGTTGACGTTCAGCTGATAAAAGATGCACAGTTGTGTTGTTCCAAACATATCCCCAAGATTTAATGCAAAATCTGTACAATTCAACTGGAAAAAAAAATCTGTTAAAAATTTTAAAATAAAATCATTGCAATAACCTTGTTGCATAAGTGTGCTCACCCGTAAAAATATACTTTGATTCATAAACCTGTTAGTCCAAGTCCAACATGTTTTGCTCTTGGTTTGGGTGCACAGCAAACCTCAACGATATTAAATCAGACCAACCATAAATTACATAAATTACCTATTTTCAGTTACTAGTGATCATAAGACTTTTTCAGAAGATCTCTTTCCAAATTTACACAGTCTGTGCAATACTTTGGAAATGAGAACCTTTTTGTAGATCAGTCGATATTAAAGCAGCTGATATCGATTTGCACTTAACAGCAGGGATACTTTCTAAACACTGACAAGCTAAATGCCGCCTTTCTACGGCTTTTATTCATGTGCTCAATATTTATTGTGTGATTCACTCTGTTACTTATTGTTTGCATGTGCATTTCTTTCATTTCCTCCATTATAAATATTGAAACTCAGAAAACTGCTGCACAGTTTGACATGAATGTCATGAAACTGAACTGAAGGTTTGCTGATTTAAGGACAAGATTATTGCAGCTTTATACACGTGCATCTCAAAATATTAGAATATCATTAAACATTTTAATACGTCATGTCACTGCTTTCAGAAAGTGAAACTCATCATCATTATATGTACTCATGTCTTTACATATAGAGCCATTTTGGTTCATCCAGGACAGAAGATACCACAAAGCCTGCAAGGTTTTCTACTAAGGTCTGTCTGATTCTCATTCAACTGGAGACGTATTACATTGTTATAACACTTAAATTACATCTAAATAAGTCAGTGCCACCCATAGTGACATCAGATCATCAGTTCAAAAAGACAAGCCTTTCATCTGAAAAGAGGACTTCTTTCACCAGATGTTTTCCTTCCACTCAACTTGCCCAAAAAATTGAGTGTGCCATAGCATTTCTGTATTAAAAATCCTTAAAAAAATCAGTAAGAAATGCCTTAGATGTGTCATAAATCTATGAACTGTATCAGTTTCACTTTTTGAATTAATTTACTGCAGTAAAGTACAATTTTAAGGATATTCTGATTTAAGGTGTGCCTGTAATCAGTCTACTGTGGTGTAATGAGTATTTAGCAAATTTATTTGATTGCAGGGAGTCTAGACATTTAAAAATGGAGGATCACTTACTGTATTTGCGCGATTCTGGAACATTTAGTAAGTTCTTTCACTGAATTTAAGAAGAAAGTTTAAGTCAGCTTTTCCACACGTGCTTAGGAAAATATTTAATCAATTCTCAGCAATAAGAATAGGATTTGAATCTCTCATTTTTAAAAAATACTTTTTTGTATTAAGGCAAGTTTAATCATTTCATGCTTTTAAGTGAACATCACAGAATAGATGTCATTTTATATGTCAAAGAGAGAAAAAAGTATGATTATTAAAAGACATACAGTTTTCGTAATAATTTGACCCTAATGTAAAAAGATCTCCATCTGTAGCAACTACTTGTGATAGATTACCAAATTTGTATTATTGTTGAATGCAGTTTGGGGGTTGCACAAGATCAGTCTAGAGTATTTGTTAAAACATGAAGCGTTTCCTCTTGGTATAGATCTGTAGAGCTGTATAAGTTTATTTCTGTTAATCATCTGCATTTTTATAAAAGAGCAGGAACTTAACTCCACATAGCTTTTAAAGGAAAAACAAACAGCCAATTTGTAAAGATAGATTCACATGTATAACATTTTCATTAATTTAAAGATGGCCGGAGTACATCTGGCTTGGTTTAGGTTAAAACTGAGTTATTTTTTTCCATAGTTATTCAGGTGGTTCCTATATTAAAGAACTGTAGCATATCTTCATACTTAAAATTATGACATTTGATTCACTTCAGCAGGCGAATGATATCAGACTGCATTTGTAGAGTGTATGAGCTGGCTGATGGTGACACTTAATCAGGCCACTAGATGGCGGTGTGGTCTAAAGGATAGAGTTATTAGTCACAC